AATATCACTCTACTTGTGCATGATCATTTCGTGATCTATTTAGAAGCAGCAAGTTGTAATATAAGAAGTAAACATTATGTTTAATATGAGCCAATATTTCATTATTTATGTAATATACATGCGTAGTGTAAAGAGCTCAGGACAAATAGTGCAGACATCAAATGTCCATGTGTGCAAAGTGATCGATTGATTTAAAACAAAAACACACTTGAAAAATTACCAGAAAGTAGGTGGTGGTTTATTTAATAATTCACAAATTTCTTTGAAATCTTTTTTTGTTTTTCTTAAGTTAATGTATAGTTTTAACTTGTATATAGTTTCCGAAAGTAGAATCAGTAATTTCTGGTGTCTTTTGAGTTCACTTGATTTACTACAATGAGAAAAAAAATCGCTTGTAAATCGTAAAAACTACAGCAGATTGATCAATATTTACGTTGGTTCCATGTTTACGCTAAATGAAGCAGATAAAAGTAAGTATATATAATTTCAATGCTTTAATTCAATTTGTGTAATTGCAGTGTTGTAATACTCACATATGTGCTGCTACTTTCCATACATTCGCATTGTTCGTTAGTACCTCTTGACTGGAATGTAACAGTAAAATCATCAAACATCCATACATTTAATATCATTATTTTACATACTTTTCCATCGCCTCCTGCACATCATGTGCAAATCGTTTGAAACTGAAAAAATATTAGATTCATTACCTGCATAAGGTATCTATTTTGTATTGAATAAAAAAATCTCACTATTTTAGTCGCCTGACAGAAAGATTTTCATAACTAAAACTTTTATATTGTGAGTTTAATCGCTTGACCATCCTAAAAAATTTAATTTCATCCAATTACATTTCAAAAATGTTTAATAATGCTTGGAAAATGAATAAATACTTTTTAAAACATTCAGTTGCTTCTTTGGGACTGAAAATAATATATTCCATTAATTATCAAATTTGTTTAAATTAAATATTGAATGAAGTTACACATCATCGACTGAATAGAGCTTTTTAACTTCTTGAAGTAGCCTAAAAAATAAAATAAAAAAATTGTTACATTTTCAGTAATTTCAAACGCAAGCATTGTTGACATAACTCAGCCTCCAATTCATCTGAATTTTGCGTGTCACTGTGTGAAAAAAGAGTCATTATGTCTAGTACATGCTGAAAAGGTTACATTTTCTTACTCTTCGAGGTTATGGATGTTATTACCTACGGCTATTGTGTTAATCCTGTTGAATAGATAGAATTTCTATCATAGAAAATAAATTTTTTATCGAAGCGTAAAATGTTTTCATGAAAACCGATTCAAATGTTCACAACAATGGTATTGGAGTAATCTTTGGAATCGAAAGTTTTGAAAAAAATTCAATTTACAAATATGGACCCCAAAATTTAATCTGTATCTGGCGTCTCCTTAAAACATAATCTATTACAGAGTTTGGTGACTCTCTTCAATATTCCGAGAAGCCAATTAACCCACTGAAACACTGTTGATACACTGCTTTCATCTGATCAAACGCACTTCACGATACTGCAACGTAGCTTTGTTTTGGGGCATGCTTCATATATTTTAAAAAGTTTCTTCAAATCCAAATACCTCAACAACACAAAACACTTTTCATGACGTTTTGAGAGCCATTTTTGACGTTCTAAGACAAAACCATGCATTATTATTAAATACTTACACAACTTTCATTTCATTCTTTGCCATCGATGTACTATGAAAATAAAATAAAATATTATGCGAAATTTAAAAAGTAAACTTGATAAGACATACTCATACTTGAAAGTGACGTCATTTTCATTTGAGTCAATGCAACAATATGCGCCATGGTTGAGACTATAAAAGAAAAATACAACGAATTATAACAGTATTTGTTTAAAAATACAGTGTTTCACAAAAGATAATAAATTACTTGTAGAGAAAAAGAGCAAAGATAATAGCTGAAATCATCTTAAAATTAAAGAACTGAAGTTCTCTCCGATATAATAATTATACAGATACTGATGCCTTGTGCGTGTAAATCGTACTTTTATACAATTAAAGTTTCACCGAAAAGTGTTCACAATTCATTGAAACATCTCGAAAAAATTCAAAAAAAGATACTTGTCATTGTTACCTGTCAACAACACCACGTTTTAACAAATGAAATAATGACTGACAATTTCTACCTGCTTTTTATAAATGTAAAAAAAAAACATATGTATTGTAAATATATTTTCTATTATCATAAGTAATGCATAATAAATATTATGAAAATCGATGTTGGTATACGCAAACAAATAATTAAATAGTTTCTATTGTAACATAGACATTTTAAATTGATTTAATTTGAAATTTTTCCATTAAGTGTCGTGCATTCTTTCAAACTTACATCAGATAATGAAATATTCTTCAAATTTTTTTCTGGGTGCAGAAAAAGGCAATTTTGATAAAGAGATGGTATTTTCATTGCTGAAATTCAATTTTAATTAAAATTCGATGACAAATAAAATGATGCAACTCGTGGATTTTGTCCTTGAATTTGGATAATTTTCAACTCATGTGATCTTCAAAAATCTTAGTCACATCGAAAATAATACAATAAGTCAATTAGAATGATGATTAGTTTCTTACGACTTCAAATGAACACGAATCAGCGACAACAATGAACTCCGTCCATGAAATGTCATTATTAAGATTACAAGAGATTTTCATCTCAAGAAGAAGAAGCATTAATGCGGTTTATCAATCGAATACGCAAAAACCAAATTATAAACAATAAAATTATGGAAATGAATTCAAATTGCGAAAGTCTCATAAAGAGATTACGATATCAACGCCACCGAGTAGATGTTTGTAGCAATATAAACGCATCCGAGCGAAGAAAATCTAATCTTTCTGCTCTTTGGTGACCATTATAATCAATTTGGGAAATCTGCTTTATTTCCATTAGCTCCACTCTCAATTTTCCATCGTAAACAACATTTCCAACATTTGGATGATCTCATTTTTCGCTACTTTCATTCTATTTATTTATGTTACGTTGGCTTTTACTCCGGTTCATATATATTCTCATATTTTCGCCACTGTGAGTGGATTTGAAATCCGTATAAATGGAGCTTGTGTTAAGTCATTTAAAGACAAAAGTAGTGCATTTGAAAAGTTTTTTTTTAAAGAAGCTAGAACCTAATACACACAGATAAAGACGAATCTAATTTGCTGAATGTGCTCTGCACCGAATAAAAATAACAATGAAATTCCTATCTAATTTAACAAAACATCTTCGTTTTCTATCAAAAGCTTCTTCCAATTTTTGTTAATACAAAGCGGATTGTACTGTCTGCATATGGTGGTGTTTGTGAAAATGCGTTTGAAGTGGATGGAAAATAAATTGAAAAAATTAAATTAGTCGCTTGCGCGTACATTTTTATTGCAATTTTCGTTTTGTTATTTTCTTATTCAACGAAAAATATACATTGTGTCTTTATTTTATTTGTCAGACGTTTCGGGCAAATTTTCCATTTCATGCCCCTCTGCACTGTCCTCGTCCTCGGCACTGTCATCGTCGTCTTGTTCCGTACAATCTTCCGGCTCAACATCGGCCGGTGCTTGTGCCACATTTTGCACTTGATTGTTTTCATTATCGTTCTCTTCATCCGAACCTTGTTTGGTTTTGCGTTTTTTCTTTTTCTTTTTCGGCTTCTCATCGGTGGGTATTGGTGTACTTTCTCCCGTTTCCGATGAGTTTTTATAACCGGGCGGAAAGAATAACATACATTCACTTTTTCCAATTTCGGTATTTTTGCTTGTATAGCACGGTCCAAGCTTTTTTAACGCCAACAAAATGGGGGAGTTTTTTATTTTTGCCACTTTTAACACGAATTTATCATAGCTGCAACGAAATAAAAAAGAGGGAAAGAGGACGAAAAAGGTAAATCACCATAATTGTTCAATAATAACAATACTTGAAATGGCAATCGACATACATTGTGGGTGGATTTTTATGGTAATTGAATGTTGAATTGGCAATTAATTGTGCTGTTTTGCAATTAGCTGTCGTAAAGTAACCGTAAGCAATTACATCATCTCTATATTGTTCAATGACATCCATAATTTCACGGTGTTTATATGCATCGAATACTAGACAGCGAAAT